TTGGCGACATAACACTTATTTTGCTGATATTGTCAGTTTGTTCTAGCTTTTCGTGAAATTCCTATTTAGTGATATAGAAATGTAAATGGAGATATAAATAAGTGATAATCTAGTTATAGTGGATCATCATATAGGGGTCAATCATATAAGAGGCCCACCAAATGTAAAATTTTATATTTAGTGGTCGGGGAAGTTCTAAAGGGGTTAGCGAAGACTGAAGTTAGACCTTGTGTTATAAGGACCTTGACCTAGACATTGTGTTATATTCACTTTTTTAGGAAACGAAAATTTGAAGATTTAAAGAATTGAATAAAAAATTATGTAAATATAAGTTTGAGTGGGGTTAAAGTGATATAACTAATTGTGTACATTTCACTTAATAGAACAACACTAGATGCAAAATGGAAACACTACCGAACACGTTACTTGATCCCTACACAAACAATTTTCTTTCTATTGATGTTTACATAAAGACGATTGTGACTTGTTTATCACATTTGTACCGTGATAGTAGTCTTACAGTTGTTATTTTGTACCTATTGTGTAGCTGTTCTAAAGAACAGTATATTTCTAGCAAAGTTGACGCTTTCTTGAGATATTATTAATATTTTTGTAATCCATCATGCCAAGAATTACTAAAAGAGAAAGTTAAATGAAACAAATAATCAATTTATTACAAAATGAGAATTAGTTTTCTCCCCCACTTCTGTGAAGGATAAAATGGTGTGTTTGTTGTGCGAAACGGTTTTAACTACTTTGAAGAAGTGAATGCAAATGAACTCTATTTGCATCAAAAGAACATAATTTTCTCATTTTAGAAGGCGAATTTCGACAGGTCACAAACAAAAAGTCGAAGCCTCTTTATACATATGTTTGTTAAACAAAGGTAAAAAGTTAAAATGGTTTCCTTCGTTATTTCCTACTTGCAGTGGCGTAACGTACACCCCCGCATTGCGGGGGGGGCAGGGACTCTATGGTGCCCAAAGCTTGACTGACGCGAAGTATGTGTCTGGGCTTGGGGCCCAAAACCTGAGTTTGCAAGGGGGGGCCTAATATTCTCCGTTACGCCACTGTCTAATTGATACGTGGCCTCTCTCAGTAGGAACGTCCCCATCTCTAGGCTAATAAAAAAACACTGGAGTAAAAAATCGTCGGTAGACCTTGGTTATTTTTTTAAAAATAAGTTTACTTTAATAATGTTTATTTTTCCCTCGAAATTTTCTAAATAAAAACACATCTTTACTATTACATAACACCTCAACGAGGAATAGAAGGTGTAGACGAAAAACATAAAAAGTTTTAAAAAAAAATTCTTACAACTTTCGCCAAAACATCGCCAGTCCTGAAAATAAATACTAGTCCACCCTGCTCAAGGACACCACTTCCCCTCCGAATTCCTTTCCTCGAACGGAGCCACAAATTCTACGTTCACAACAAATCACGAACCCTTCCCCATTCACTCACACACAATAACACCTCGCCTCCCTTCAGAACTGCGGAACTTCAAGAGAGAAAGTTAAAAAAACAGGTGTTAGTTCTTTTCCGCATCTTTCCGCAAGGGGGTGGAGCACTCTCGCCCCTCCATCCACTTTCACCTCCCAGAGGGTCTTTCTCCCCCTCCCTTTTTCTATGTGGAAGGAATGTTTGTATTTTTTATGTGTACACATCGCGTTCCAAGAAAAAGTGTTTCTACGGTAGCCAATAGGAGTGATTGGCGCCTTCCGTGTAATAATTTACGCTATGATTTAGAGAACTTTTTATCCCCGCGTGCTGCTACTGTATAAAATTATAGTTATTCCTTGAATAATGATCGAAGTAGTATTTCAAGATTTTTTTTCCGAAGTTTTTTTATAGAAGTCATTACCTAGTATTTGATTTTTCTAGAATAAAAGGAAATGAAAACTAAAGATCTTTATTTTTACATTTAAAAGTGGAAATTTCGCGAAAGAAATATTTTGTTTACATCAACCCGACACTTCACGCGTGAAAAAAGCGAACGGAATTTCACGCGCAGGGTAACTCATACCCAAAGGTTACATTCCGTTTTTAACGTAAAATTTGTATACAAAGGTGAAAAAGGAAGAAAAGTAGGAAATACAACATGTTTAGTACACTTTTCACACTAAGTTTTGTTTTTCTGTTCTTTTTTTATTAAGACATTCAGTACATTGTGTATACATTCCTTTAGTCTTCGTCGAGAGTGAGTGCGATGTTTTCACTCGATCTTAATTTTTTAAAAATTTCGTTGAAGCGTTGCTTGTGATAGTTTCTACATTCTTCTGTAAATCGAAATCTAAAACACTCCAGAAATCAGCGTCGGGTTCGATGTTTAGTAGGTAGTTTCTGAGTACTTAACAAAATAATTTGCGCATTTATTGTTTTGCAATGTTCAACAACAACAAAAATTTTGTCATAGGCTAACGATTACATTTTCTAGCCCAGTAGCGCACACAGGACAGGCACCAGGGTCGAAAGTCCACCATTCTTGCATTACGCCCCTTTTGATTTTGTCGATTTTTCGAAACAAAAAACAGTAAAAAACCAATTATTGAATAAATAATTAGCATTAATTAATAAAATTAATTATTAATAAAAATATTTAATCAAATTTTACGTACTATATACTTAGAATTATAATCAATCGGCAAAAAATCGAGGGCTTTGGGGAGGGTCCGGACTCCTAGGACACCCCCTTGTGTGCGCCACTGTTCTAGCCATTGAATAGGATGTATTCATTTCATCACAAGGACGGTAATTACTCCCTCAGTTAAATTATCTGGATCGATTTCAGTAGAGGAATCATACTTGCTATATCATACTCTTTTCATCACTCGATTCTTCCTCATCATCCCCTCAAAGAAACTTTCTTCATCCGAAAATACACTGTTGTACTATATCTTAAATAAAGGGTGTTTTTTGAGAGGTATAGAACTTTCAATTGCAATCAAACAAAGATGTATTATTCGATTGACATGAATTTTTTTTATTCGAAAGATAATCTTGTGGCATTACATTTTACATATGATATCTGGCATAGGACTGCCACGGCTGGCTCGGATGTAGTCCAATCTGGACGTCCAATTTTCGATCCCTTTTTCCAACATTTGTGGCCGTGTATCGGCAATAACACGGCGAATGTTGTCTTCCAAATGGTCAAGCGTTTGTGGCTTATCCGCATAGACCAATGACTTTACATAGCCCCACAGAAAACAGTCTAGCGTGTTAAATCACAAGATCTTGGAGGACAATTCACAGGTCCAAAACGTGAAATTAGGCGGTCACCAAACGTGTCTTTCAATAAATCGATTGTGGCACGAGCTGTGTGACATGTTGCGCCGTCTTGTTGGAACCACAGCTCCTGAACATCATGATTGTTCTACTCAGGAATGAAAAAGTTAGTAATCATGGCTCTATACCGATCACCATTGACTGTAACGTGGTAGCCTTCATCGTTTTTGAAAAAGGATTCCACCAGCCCATAAATCGCACCAAACAGTCAGTTTTTCTGGATGTAACGGTGTTTCGACATACACTTGTGGATTAGCTTCACTCCAAATGCGGCAGTTTTGTTTGTTGACGGAGCCATTCAACCAGAAGTGCGCTTCATCGCTAAACAAAATTCGCTTATGAAAATCGACCATTATTTTCGAAATAAAATTGCACAATTTGAAAGCGTTGTTCAGGCGTGAGTCTATTCATGTTGAATTGCCAAACCAAACTGAGAATAAATCACTTGTTAAATCGGTCGCCATCTTGGAAAGTAATGCCAACTTAAACTTCTATACCTGGAAAAAAAAACACTGTGTATTATGTCTGCTAAATTACTTAAATATCACATTTCTTCATCAGAACTATAATAACGTGCCATAGCACAAGAAAAATTTTAAAGCGGGCTCATGCATTTATAACCGTAATGGCGATTCACGCACAGGGTATAACAAACTCGAAGAGGCGGTATCCAAAAATATATATTTATAATTCCCCCGTAAGCTTTGGCCCCTCAAAGGATATGACCTTAAAGCAGTAGCGCACACAGAAATTTTTCAAGGGGGGGGGGCAAGGTCTCTCCCTCGAAAGTCCACCATTCTTGTATCATGCTTCTTTTGATTTTGTCGGTTTTCGGGAACAAAAAACAATAAAAAACTAATTATTGAATAAATAATTAGCATTAATCAATAAAATTAATCATTAATAACAAATACTTAATTAAATTTTACGTACTTAGAATTATAATCATTCGGGGAAAAAACAAGGGCTTTGGGGGGTTCGGATCCCTAGAACACCCCTCTTGTGTGCGTCACTGCCTTAAAATCAGCTACACTAGAAACTATTCATTTCCAAAAAAAGTTCAGATGGAGTCTTGGAAAAAAGTTAGGTGGTAGTGATAACATACCCTGCGCGAGAAGTGTCGGGTTTAAAGTGCAAATTTCGTGAATGTATTTTTTACCTGTGATTTTAATCAACTAAATAGTACTATTTGAGTACCAGATACGTTTAAAACTTTGGTGCAGGGACGGGCATTTGTTTTGGCTCGAGGAATTGTGGAAGCGGAAGATATACCGGAGGAAGCACCTTTTTAAAATGATTGCAATCATTAGTTAACTTTGATTCTCAGAAAATGTATAAATTGTGTATGTACCATGCAAAATTCAATAAATATTAAATAAAAGAGTGGCAGTTTTATTCAATTTATTTATTGTGTTAATTTCATATCTATAGCTGCAAGCACATCAATTCCTACTATTGGTTCACTCTTTCCCTATATATATCTATATTTATCTGTATATGTCTTGTTCAAATTTTCAATCGTTAATAAAAAACTTTCTTTTTATCCATTCAAGTTCACACAAATACATTTTTTTAAAAACTTTTAGTGGCTGGCACTTGATGTTAGTACAGTTTTTTCAAATATTAACTCATTAATTAAATTTAAAAAATGAATAAATAGTAACAAAAATAATAGTCCAACAGCATACATAGAAAGAAAAATCGTTCGTTGCGTCCCTGTAGCGCAATGGATAACGTGATGGACTTCTAATCCAAAGGTCGTGAATACCACCTGGGATGGCCTAATTTTTGAGTATGAGATTTCTTGTTTACTATTCTGTTTCATTAGAATAATTAAATTTCATTAATGAATAAATAGTAACAAACAAAAATAATAGTCCAACACCTTATATAGAAAGGAAAAGGGCAAGAAAAATCGCTTTCTATTTTGTCACTTAATAGTGTAATTCTATCATGTATATACATATTTAGTATTAAGTGTAAATAAAAAGTAACAAAACTAAATTTTTCTTTGTTGACCTAAGTACGAATTGACTAAAAAAATTGTTTTTTATATTACTTGCTTTGCAATTTGCTAAATGAAACGAATGTACCCTGTCACACTTTACTACAATTTGTTTGTAATCAGGAGTGAGATTACTTGTTCAAATTCTCTGTACAACCTACAAGTTATATAGTGTCAGCCAACGTACATCGCTGAACTGAACTCAATGGCGCAACAGTTCATGAGGGACAAGACTTACTGTGCCTATCTCAGTTCTCGTGACCTTAGGCACTGGGCTGCATGTGCAGATGTTTTGGTCAAGTGGTGAGTCTGACGCGAATCCCCCACTTTTCAGTCCCCAAGCAATCTTGGTATTCATTTATCGACCCTCTGAAAATAGGAAAGGCTGAGTCGATCTTACCCAGCCCAGGATGGGAACCCAGGACCTGTGGTGGGGAACACTACCACTCTGCTACTGGGCTTCACTTGCATCACTGTCTTTGTATTTACTCTTGTCAGTAGAGCACACAGGAATTTTTCAAGGGGGGTCCGGGGTCGAAAGTTCACCATTCTTGTAACATGCTCCTTTTGATTTTGTCGATTTTCGGGAACAAAATACAGTAAAAAAACTAATTTTTGAATAAGTAATTAGCATTAATTAATAAAATTAATCATTAATAACAAGCAATTAATTAAATTTTACGTACTATATACTTAGAATTATAATCAATCGGAAAAAATATCAAGGGCTTTGGGGGGTCAGGACTCCCCCTTGTGTGCGCCACTGACTCTTGTTGATCTTCATGTAAGAAAAATTTTGCTCACAAATATATGTTGATATATTTGTGATTTATAATATATGTGATTAAACAAATAAACGTTTATATATGTGATTTATATGCTGTTATATTTGTGAAATCCCCTTATCCCTACTGCAGTGGGTCGATAAATGAGTACCAAGCTTGCTTGGGGACTTAAACACTGGGGGTCCCGCTTCAGACTGCCCCCTGATCGGGGCATCTGCTAATGCACCTCAGCGCCTAATGGTCGCGTATACTGGGATGGGCACAGTAGGCCCTCATGGGCTGTTGCGCCACTGAGTTTGAGTTATATTTGTAAAATATATAGAACATTTACTGTCTATTGGTTTTTTTTCTGACTGACTTGGCGGACTGCAAAAAAAAATTTCCCGGGTCACTATTTGCCCCCCCCCCTGCTTTTGTTAATCATAAGCAAAGCATTCTGATTTCCGCATTATGCTATTTTTAAATTTAGATAGTTATTCATGATTTTATGTATAAGTCTCGATAATGACTCTCGGGAAAAAAATATTACCAAATTTTTTTTAAAAAATAAGTTTATTCCAATTATTTTGTATGTGGAGTGGAAGTTTTTTTTTTTTTTTGGGGGGTGTCAACTTGATTGTGGTTCAGAATAACGAGGTTCATCTCCAGCCAGAGACGTCTTAAGGTGTAGACCAACTGAGCCCAGGGCCTCACCTAATACTCATCTAAACCTGAGTAAGATCATGATCCGAATAATTTCAACGGTCAATTGTCATTTCCAGTTGTATTCTTTGAAAAACTGGGAATTTCGGACGATAAGTCAACTGGCTACATGTGATGATCGTCGTCCACGTGCAGGCTAAGGCCTACTACCATACACCATCATTACTCATGCAGTCAAAAGGTGACATTAGGTCGAGCCGATTTGTGCGATTTTAAGTCATACACGTTTAATTGTTTCGGGTTATTTTTTGTACGAGTATTTGACAACGTATACTATATACCAATGGTCTCCAAACTGTGTTCCACGGAATCCTGGGGTTCCACAAGGTATACCCAGGGCTCCACGAGAGACAATAAAAAAAACGAGAAGAAATAAATATGTGTAAAAAATAGATTCTCACACGTTCTCTATGAAGTTTGTCTAGTTTTAAAAATCTGAAGCCTGTGCATTAAAACTGAAAATTTTATTTATATATGATAAATTTATTTTCAACACTTTTAAACTTTATTATAATATAATAAAAGAATATTAAAACGTTTTATTTTTATACATATATTTCCTATTAAATTGTGAACATTCTATTGTTTACTATCTCGGGTTTGTCAAGATGGTTTTATACTCGTTAGTCAGCACAATGTCTTGCAAAACTAAATAGTTTTCTAAAGGAAAATGCACCATTTTATACATTTGTGGAAAATGACACCTATAATGAAGGAAAAGGAACAAATAATATATCAACAAAGTTGATGTTAACATCTAAATTCAATCAAGAATAGCTTCTAAATTTTATATATATATAGGTTACAAATTCTCTCATGCAAAACACACGGGATTTCTCACACAGCTATAAACATTTTAATGCCATTCAGAACATTGTGTTTAAGTGAAATATATTTCTCGACGTAAGTGGCTACAAAAACAGATTAAACTCAAGATATATAAATGTATGTAATGTGATTAATTATATTTAATCTCAATAGACCAAGACTTCGACAGTTTGTGTAAAAAATACTAGCATATATCCCATTTACTAAATATAATGCACATAGGTAGACGACACATGAATCACAAATTAATATTATTAATGAGTAAATTATGTTAAAACACTAGATTAGAACTTTTTAATAATAGATGCAATACTTTTTTAATTGTCTTTACATAAAGTGCCGATAAAAAATATTTTGAAGTATATTCCTCGAAGTATACTAATGTATGGAATGGGGTTCGACGAAAGCACCTTCAAGTTGTTGGGAGTTCCGTGAATTGAAAAAGTTTGAAGACCACTTCTATATACTATCTACTATTAAGGATTATAGGTGGGGCCTACATGTGTGTAGGGGCCCAGGCCCTCAAGAAGTCTTAAGATGTCCCTGTCTCCAACAGTTCATGTGCGATATTCATTAAACAATCAAGTTTTTATTAGAGCATATTTTGTTTTTTCGCCAAAAGTGTTCTGCTTGGCAAAATCTGTGTCTCGTTTGTTGAACAATACCCTCCGCAAAAGTCTACAATTTTGATAAATTTTTCTCCAGTATATTTCACTAATATTAGATCAGCGATACTCAACCCGCGGGCTGCATGTGGCCCACCGAGCCTTTTTAAGTGGCCCGGTCATGGCCCATTGCACTGAGAAATTCACTTATTTAAGAACATTGTATTAAAAATTTTATGGGAAACTCTTTAGCAAGAAATTAAATATATCAATTTTGCTTTTTGCTGTCTGTGTTGTATGGGTACCAATTGATATTCTTTTTCTATTTGGAACGGTTATGGTTAGTGATAACAGACAACAGTGGAATAACAACAATTTTATGGGAGGAACTAATTTTTAACTATCTTTCAGATCTTGCAAGCAAAAATTATTCGAAGAAAATATATCGTTTCAAGACGATTGGGAGGTTGATTATTTTGTTGTGAAAAACAAACATGATCAGTAATTGTTTGATTTGTCATGAATGCGCTGTATTTAAAAAATACCGATAAACAGGTATTATTCAATGGCACTTTTCCTCGAAGATTTCTTTTAAGAGGTGACAAATAGGTTTTCTTGAATAATCTTTACAACAGAAACGAAGTGTTTTGTCAGTGGTAATATCACAGTGGTAACAAAGACATATCCTATGAAGTTTGTTATATTATTGGTAATCATATAAAACCGTTTACGGATGCAGAAATTGTGTAGTGTTTCTTAAATGATTCTAATTTAGTCTTAGTGACAAAAATAAAACAAAAAATTATAATTAAAAGAAGTAAAACAGGAGTTCAAATATTTTGATCAATTATCCGCATTTTAAATTTCTAATGTTATTTTGGTCTCAAATCATTCCCCCCCCTCCATTTGTCCTAATGTTGCGGGCCGCGGGAAATAACTAACATATATATGCGGCCCTCGTGAAATAGCTGACATATGTTGCTATTGCTATATGTGGCCCAGCAGAAAAAAAGGTTGAGTACCCCTGTATTAGATTAATTCATATCTCATTAAATATTGATTTAAGAAACTTAACGATTGTGGGGAGAAAAATCAGAAGATGTGTTACACTGATAAGTTATCTTCCTGTCTTTCGTGCTGTCCTTGAAAATGGTCCACCAGTTGCATAATGCTCCGATGAATTCTCTTTCTTTCGACGGTCAACTTTTTAACTATCAACTGCTACCAAGCATCCGCAAATTCTTTTCATTCCTCTCTGCACGCCTCGCTCGGTTTATTCAAACGCACCAACCACGGCAGGAATTTAAACGTCCTCAAACTATAAAACCTTTGATGAATCTCTTTTCCGACTACACACGCGAGTCCTCTCCAGATAATGATATGCAGTCGAGAATTATTTTCAGAACAAATCATTCACACACACATGCACGTTTAAACACCTGGGTGACTTCTACCGCACCGTATTAAAAAACATCTCTCGCCTCTTTCGAATATATTCTGGTCGATTCATTACGTAATACGCATGTCAAATTTTGTATTATTTCGAAACGGAAAAGAACCCTTTCTCTCTAGCTTATTATTCATTCATTTTTTTAAAAATATTACTTTCTAGGTTTTATTTTATATTTCTGGAGAATTCTCAATTTTGCCTTGAGTATTGTTTGTGCTATATCTGACTTCCGTGCATGGCAACGTGGTGTACTATAAAGACATTATGGAGACGGACGTGCCTGAATACAAACCGTTATAGCTGTGCTAAAATAGGATAATAATTTGTAGCCCCTGTGTCACGTTGCAAGGTGCAAACAATGCTATTATTTTCAGTGGCATGTAAAAGTAAATAGAAAGGAAGGT